GAAAAAAAAGTTTTGATAAACTTTTTTTATATACAAAAAAGAAATTTATTTACAAATAATAAAATTTTACGAATAAATATTAAATTAAATAAATTTTATTTATTTAAAAAAAAAGAAATTGGATTTATTTACAAAAAATCAATGAAGATTTATAAATAAATAAATAAATAAAAAATTACTTTACAAAATACAAATAAATATTTGTATTAAAGAAAGAAATAAATAAAAAATTACTTTGCAAAATACAAATAAATATTTGTAAAGAAAGAAATAAATAAAAAATTACTTTGCAAAAGACAAATAAATATTTGTAAAGAAAGAAATGAATAAAAAATTACTTTGCAAAAAATAAATAATAATATTCGTAAATAAATAAATAAAAAATTATTTTGCAAATAATAAGTAAATATTTATTTACAAAAAAATAAATAAAAATTTTTTTTGTAAGAAATAAATAAAAATTTCTTTTGAAAAAAATAAGTAAACATTTATTTAGAAAAAAATAAATAAAAATTTACTTACAACAATGTAAATAAATATTTATCTGCAAAATAATTTAATAAAAAAAAATGTAAATAAATATAACTAAGCATAAATATAAAAAATAATTAAAAATTTATTTACGAAAACAAAATAATTATTAAAAATTCCAATTTTGTTCCCCATGAAATTTACTGAAAGAAAAATTGAGTTTTATTAAAAGTATTTTTTCTTTTTCAAATAAATTAATTATTTCCGAATCAATTAATCATAATATTTGTGTGTATATAAAAAATATTTTTCTTCTCCTTTAAAGTGATTTATTGCCCATGTTTACATCAGTTTCTAATTAGATTGTCAAAAAAAAAAAAAAAAAAACAGAAAAAGAGAATTACAACACATATTTACATAATTATGTCATAAATAGGTGGTGATATTTTATTATTGAAAAAAAACGAATTTTTTTTTCTATTTTATAAGCTTACGCACACTCTTCGTTATTTATTATATTTGCAACAATAAAAAAAAAAAATGTGTGGGTTATATTGTTAAAGGTGTATTCTCTTATTAAAATAAAAAAAAATGCCAGTACATTTATTTGAAAAATAAATAAAATAATGAGAAAAAAAAAACATTTCTACGTTACGATAAATAATTGCATATCGTTTACGTCGAAAATTATTATTATAATAATAACAATAACAACAATGATGTTTTATTCTTTTATATACAAATAAATAATTATAGAAAAAATAAAAAAAAGTGTGCAGAAAAATAAATGTTTTATTCTTTTTATAATTTTGGTTTTTGAAAAGAAAAAAAAAATTTTTTTTCGACTCCTTTCATTTATTTTCGAAAAGAGAAAAAATTGTTTTCGTAAATTTTCGAAAAGAAACTAAATTTTTTTACGCTTTTTATTAAATTTCAGATAGAAAACAAAATTTTTATTAGTTTTCGAAAAGAGAAAAAAAAATTGTTTTAAGCTTTTTATTTGTTTACGAAAATAGAAGAAAATTTTTTAATTCTTTTATTAATTTTCGAAAAGAAAAAAAAAATAATTTTTACGCCATTTATTAGTTTTTGCAAAAAGAGAAAAAAAAATTGTTTTTTAAGCTTTTTGTCAGATTCGAAAAGAAAAAAAAATATAATTTTACGTCTTTTGTTAAGTTTTTGAAAGGAAAAAAAAATTTTTTTTTTTAACATTAAATTTTTTCTACTCTAATTAAAATTCTACGACTTTACAAAATATTAACGTCGATCATTTGAAACTTAAAGAAAAAAAAATACAAATCCGACTAAATTAAGTATTAATGGAAAATACGTGTTTTTAAATGGAACTATTTTAAATATTTGACAGAATTTTTTGTTTCATTTCACAAAAAAATGTATTAGGTTAAAAATATGGATTTTTTTCCAATGATTTATGGGTAAATATTTTTTTTCTCTTTTCCAATTATTAAAGCAAAAAAAAAAAAAAAAAATAACGAAGAATTTAAAAAGCATTAATTATTAGATCAAAAGTAGCTACTAGTTCACTTTGTATTTTTCCATTTATTCTTAAGAAAATAAATCATTTTAATTCAAACTTTATTTGCATATTCGACAATTTTATGATCGAAAGAAAAAAATTAAACAAAAAGAAGAAATAATTCCTAATAATAAACACGAAATTGACTAGTTTAGTTTTTTCAATAAATTATTATAAATAATAATAATAAAAATGAAATAAATAAAAAGTAAATAATACAAATATTAATAATGATAAAATTAAATAAATAAAAGATAAATAATAAAATTAAATATAAATAAAAAAGATGAAAAATATAAATTTTATTTTTAATTTGGAAATAAATAAAAAAAATAAAATTCTTAAATATAAAACAAACGCAAAAACAAAAATTATTTGCAAAAAATTCAAAATATATTATAAAATTAAATTAGAAAGAAAAAAAATTTTCTAAATTATATTTGTAGAAAATTTTCTCGAATGACTTCTTTTTATTTCTTTTTCTTCTTTTTTTCTCTACTTTTGTTGTCATTATCTTATCGAAATTTACGGTATCTACAATGAATAATTATAAATAACGTTTAAAATTTTTTAAACTTCATTCATTTCAAAATATATAAATATTGTAAATTATGGAAATTTTTTAAACAAACTTTGTAGAAAAAAATTTAAATAACGATATTTCAATGTGTCTTGAAAAAGTCACAATGTATAAAAAAAAAATTTGAAACAAAAAAGAAAAATGCTATTAACACATTGACTGTGAAAAATAAATTTTCTCTTTTTTTCAAAAAAGTGAATAATATAATTATTGACAATGTATAAACATAAAAAAAAATAGAAATTCAATTTCGAACGTTTTGAAATAAAATTTTTCAAGCGAATTCAATTTTCTAAAATAATAAAATTCCCCAAAAGTATTCAATTTTTAAAAATAATAAAATTCTCCGAAAATATTCAATTATTTTCGATACATTAATTTTAATCTAATTTTCAAATTATATTTTTGAAATTTTTTAAAAATAATTGAATTTCTCGAAATATTTCAATTATTTTCAAAAATAGAAATAAAATTCTTTGCAGCAATTGAATTATTTTCAAAAAACAAATTTTAATCTAATTTTCAAATTATATTTTTGAAATTTTTTAAAAATAATTGAATTTCTCGAAATATTTCAATTATTTCTAAAAATAAAAATAAAATTCTTTTGCAGGAATTCTATTATTTTCAAAACAAATTTTAATCTAATTTTCAAATTCTACTTTCAAAAATTCTTTTTAAATAATTGAATTTCTCGAAATATTTCAATTATATTTTCATAAATAATAAAATTCTTCAAAGGAATTCAATTATTTTCAAAACTTTCCATTAAAATCCTTGATGAGAATTCAATTATTTTCAGAAATAATAATATTCTTCGGAGGAATTCAATTATTTTTGAAAAATAATAAATTTCTACCCAAGAATTCAATATTATTTTCACAAATTCTAATAAAATTCTTCAAAAGAATTAAATTATTTTTAATACAATTTTAAATTTTAATAAAATTTATTGGAAGAATTAAAATATTTTTTATATTTTAATACAATTTGTTTAAAGAATTTGATTTCTTTTAAAACAATTTTAATTAAATTTCTAGAAAAAATTTAATTACGCTTTAAAGAAAATAATAAAATTATTCGCAGAAATTTGCAATTATTGTTTTAAAAACTTCAATCAAAATTCGTCGAAGCAATTCAATTATTTTCAAAATTTTTGACAATAAAAATTCCAATAAAATTCTTCAGAAGAATTTAATTAATTTCAAAAATTCTAGTAAAATTCTTCAAAAGAATTTAATTAATTTCAAAAATTCTAATAAAATTCTTCAAAAGAATTCAATGATTTTTAATTCAATTTAAAATTTCAATAAAAATTCGTAGAAGCAATTCAATTACATATTTTTAAAATTTTTGCTAATATTCTTCCTAAAAATTCAATGTTTTTAAATAATAATAAAATTCTTCGCAGGAATTCATTTATTTTCCATACAAATTTTCAATTAAATTTCACGAAAGAATTCAATAACTTTCAAAATTATTGTTTTATTGAAATTCTTCGAAACAATTTAGGTAATTATTTTTAAAAATTTGATAAAAAAAATTTCTTGAAGAAGAAATTCAATTATTTTCACAAAAAATAAAAATTCTTGACAGGGAAATTTTATGATCCTTAAAATTTTTAATTATTTCAATAGAATTTTAATTTAAAATAATAAAATTCCATAAAAGAATTCAATATTAGTTTCAAAAAGTTTTTTTTATTAAAATTCTTCGAAAAGATTTAATTATTTTTTTTTAATAAAAATTCCTTTAATAAGAAAAAATCAATAATTTTTATAAATAAAATTCTTGATAGAGAAATTTTATTATTTCAATAATTTTTAATTATTTCAAATAGAATTTTTATTAAAAATAATCAAATTCCTTAAAAGAATTTAATTTCATTCAGAAATTTCAATAAAATTCCTTAAAAGAATTCAATATATTTTATAAATAATAATGAAATTCTTCTGAGATGAATAATAATTTCCAAATACGATCAAAAATAATAAATTAATAATTTTTTTCAAATGAAAATTTCGTTGAAAATTCTCGAAAGTTATTCAATTATTTAAAAAATATTGTTATACAATTTTTTCAAAAGAATTGAATTATTTTCTGAAATAATCAAATTCTTCAAGGAAATTCAATTATTTTCAATGCAAACTTAATCGCAGTTGATAACAATTAACAATTTAATTGTATAATTCTATTATACATTTAAATAAAAAGTCCTATAACTTTTTAAGTGATTAAAAATAATTTTGCTAAAACTTATTCTATTAGGATTTTCTTTTTCTTTTTATTAAATGAAACGAAATAAATTTATTAATTATTAATTACTCAAATAAATATTTATTTCTTTCTCTATAGACGGAAATATATAAAATAATCATTATTTATTTTAATATATTCAATTAAGATTCGTAATTAATAAATAAATTAATTTATTTATTCGTAATTAATTCGTTAATTGATTAAAATGACAAAATTCTCTCTTTTTCTCCATAAAAAAAGAACGCGACAAAAAAGAGAAAATCTCTATATACAATATTTCTTATCACAGGGAAAAAGTCTCTTTTCTTTTTTGTAAACTAATATTTATTTTTACAAATAGAGAGAGAGAGAGAGAAAGAGAGTGTAAATGAGGAAAAAGAAAAAAAAAGAAAAAAAAGGAAATTTAAACAACAAATTTTGTAGGAGAAAAAAAATTTGTTAATCTGGCTTTTTTCTCCTCGCTGGATCATTTTCCGTGCCCCAATCTTCGGAAATGTATTTCAATAAATCGGTGAGTCCATCGAATTCAGTACGACTTTGTGGTGGATCATTTTTCGGTATTCTCGGCAATATTGAACCCATTTTATGGCGAAATTCCTCGGCATTCTTTGCGCCCGATAATTTCCAAATGCCATAGAACAATAATCCACAGCCAGTAAAGGCGTAAAGTGTCCCCCATCCTAATGCGCGTAACGCTAGCGATGCACCGCTATCGTGAAGGCCACCCTTCACGCCAACAATTCCTTCTTGAAAATATTTTTGATCTTGCTTACGAACAACGGCCAATGTGCTTCCAAATCCGATGAGAAATGAGAATCCAGTGATTGCGCTCACGAATGCAACGGCTTTTTGTTTTTTTTTTTTTTTTTTTGAAAAAATAAATCAATTTTTTAGTTTTTCGTAAAGAATTCTCAATTTTTGTAAAATATTTTTTTAATTGGTTTTAATTAATTTTTTTTAATTATATTAAATTCAAACAAACATTTTTTTTTGATTTATTTAATTAAATTCAAACAAACATTTTCTGATTTATTTAAAATTAAATTCAAACAAACATTTTTTGATTTATTTAAATTAAACAAAAATATTAAAAATGATTAGATGAACAAAAAAATGTTTTAAATAACGTTTTATTTACGAATTATTGTTACTGTAACTTCTTGAAAATTATTTTCATCATTTCAATTTAATTATATTATTTTTTTAGAATTTCTATCTAAAATTCTTCTTTAAATTTTAATTATTTTTTAATAATATTTTGAAAAAGTTCATCTTTGATAATTTTCAAATTCATTTGTTTATAATTTCAATTATTCGGAAATTCTTCAATTATAAATAAGTATTAGAAAAAAAAATTTTAAATAATTTCAAAAAAAAATTCAATTAAATTACAATTAAACTTTTTCCAAAAAAAATTAATTCTACACAATTGTTAATTAAAAGTATGAAAAAATTCAAATTTTCAAATATTTCAATTTCAAAACCTTTTTAAAATATTCAAATATTTCTAAAAATTCAAACTATGCTTTTAATATTCAATTAATAGATTTCTAAAATTTTAACTAAAATTAATTTTTAAATCAATTTTTATTAGAGAAAATTCTATGAGAATTCAATTATTTAAATACAATTTACAATTAAAATGCAAATAAATAATTTCTTGAATAATTGAACGTTTCTTAAATTGAATTCGCATAAAGAATGTTATCAACAGATTTTTAAATAACTGAATTCTTTTGACGAATTTTAATAAAATTTTCAAGAATAATATTACATTTTTTTATAGGAATTCGATTAAAAATTGTATTAAAAATAATTCGAATTCTGCGATGAGTTTTTATATTATTTATGAAAATAATTGAATTTTTGTCAAAAATTTGAATTTTTCTATATAAATAATTCAATTATCGAAGAACTATTAAAAAATTGTTCGAATTAATTAAATTTTTATTAACAAATTAAATTATTTAATTTAATTTAATTTTTAAATTATTTATTGAAGAATTGAAATATTTTATTGAAATAATTGAATTTTTACTGAAGAATTCAATTTTTCTATTTAAATAATTAAATTTTTAACCAGAAATTGGACTTTTTTGTTTAATTAATTGAATTCTCAAAGAAATTTGGAAAATTGTTCAAAATAATGAAATTTTTCGATGTATTCAATTAAAATAGTTTAAAAAATATTTGAAATGTTCAAAATAATTGAATTTTTCGAGAAATTCAATTGAATTTGTATTAAAATTCCTTTGCTATAATTTTATTAAAAATAATTGAAATTTGGCGATGAATTTTTATAATGAATTATATTAATTACTAATATTTAAAGCAAAAATATGAAAAACTTTTTATAGGTTATATAAAATATAACACTTTCTCGAAAATAAAAATGATATTGACATTAAAAATACATGTCAATAATGAACGTCATATTTAAAATTTAATAAAAATACTTTTTTTCCCAACTCTTTACTTTATTATATTTTAAAAAAAGAACAATATTTTATTTCAAAAAGGAAAAGAAATACTTTTATTTATAGGTTAGGTTCTAATTGCGGAAAATTTGACACTTGATTAATAAACACTGACAAAGTAATGACAGAAATTCACCTTTAAATTTTTCCTTCCTCTTCGTGACATCTTTATTTGTTAATTTATCAACAGTTTGTATATCTGAATTAATATTTGGAATCTTTGGAATTAAAACGTTGGATTCCGAGGACATTTTTTTTTACTTGTGTTCCTTGTGTTTTGTATTTTTCGTCTATAAAGTTACGTAAATTACGTTTCAATCGTTTTGCAAATTTTGGGGAATTTCTCACTTTACGAAAATCACTATTTTTCTAGATCAGAAAATTCCCTAGGATTCGGTGTGGGTGCTCCTTTAAAGTTTTATTCACTATTTTCGTTATTTATCTCTAATTACTCCAATTGTATTTGGAAAACAAATATTCAATTTATTTATTTGCAATTTTATTTCTATTTTTCAATATATTTATTAATAATGACGAAAGAATTTATACTTTGGATAAAAATTGTCCAAAACGAAAAATTCACATTGGAGTGAGAGAGACAGGTACATAGTCTCTCTCTCCAGCTCCAATGTGAATTTTCCGTTCTGGACAATTTTTAACGAAAGTAAATGCTTTCGTCATTATTAATAAATATATTGAAAAATAGAAATAAAATTGCAAATAAATAATTTATTATTTATTTATTTCAAAATACACTAAAATTTGTATCACTTCCAAAATAACCGAAAATTGAATATAAAACCCCTGTTATTTCGAGTTTTCAAACGAAGTAAATATTCGCAGCGACCCAACCCTGTTCCGTATCAAAAACACAAATTTGACGACCCATCGCTTTTTATAGTTTTCAGTAATAAAAAATGGCGCCTGCTATGGAGGGATTGACTGACCAACAGAAAGAAATTTACGAAAAAATAACAAAAAATGAAGTGGATGAACTTAAAACATTATTGTCAACGTGTGAAACAAAATTGGATTTTGTCGATAAAAATGGAATGAGCCTATTGCAACATGCATGTTACAAGGGAAATAAGGAAATTGCCCAAATGCTCTTGGATCAAGTAGGTTATGTTTGTCTTTCTTTCTTTTTTTTCTCCACTTTTTTGTTTTTTTCCCACTTTTTTCCCCTTTTAAAAACAGATTTCTCCACTTATTTATATACATACGAATTGGTTATTTATAATACTCTTTGATTTATCGTTTCCTCTTGCTAATTTAACTCACGAATTTCACTAATTCTTTAGTGTTTATACTGTACTTATTTGTAGTTGTTTTTTTTGCTTCGATCTAGATAATTCGAATTATCACTCATTTGACAATTAGGACTTTATTAATTTTCTTTCTTTTTTGTTTTTCTCTTGTTTTTTCTTTCTTTTATTTTTTCTCTTTTTGTTTACTAATTTTGCTAGTTTTAAGAAAAAGTGTTGTAATTGTTTATTCTTTTTTACAGCCTCAGTGTTTAGAACAAAATGTTTCTATCGATGTTTAAAAGATCCTCTTCATATTATATTTTTATACACTCTCACTCAATAATTTGTGTTAAAAACACAACATTCTTTTATTTTTGCATTGTTTAAAAATTTTCTTTTTATTTATTTTCTTAAAGGTTTTTTTAGTCGTTTTTTAAATCTTTTTTCAAGTCTTTTTCTGAATTTTTATTTAATCTTTCTTCGAGTCTTTCGAAATCGTTTTAAATCTTTTTTCGAGTCTTTTTTAACCTTCGTTCGTTTTTTTCAAGACTTGTTTTAATCTGTATTTGAATATTTCAAAAAAATTTTATTCATGAATTCAATTGTTTTATTTAAATAATTAAATTATTCTATTTAAATAATTGGATTCTTATTAAAGAATTCAAATTTTTATTTAACTAATTGGATTTTTATTAGAGAATTCAATTTTTTTATTTAAATAATTGAATTTTTATTAAAGAATTCAATTATTTTATTTAAATAATTGAATTTTTATTAAAGAATTCAATTTTTTATTTAACTATTTGAATTTTTGTTAAAGAATTCAAATTTTCTTATTTAAATAATTGAATTTTTATCGAGAAATTAATTTATTTTAATTACATTATTTAAAAGAAATCCAATTATTCCATAAAAATTCAATTATTTAATTAAAAAAAATTAAATTCTTCAATAAAAATTCCAATTATTTAAATATAAAAATTGAATCCTTAAAAAAAATCAATTATTTTGATACATAATAAAAATTTTACAGAGATTCAATTATTTTGATAAACAATAAAATCTCATTGTTGAATTTCAATTATTTTTAATAAAATTATAGTTGAATTCTTCGAAAAATTCAATTATTTTGAACAATTATTCAAAAATTCTTCGAGAATTCAATTATTTAAATAGAAAAATCCAATTTTTCGATAAGAATTCAATTATTTAATGAAAAAATTTAATTCTTTAATAAAAATTCAATTAACTAAATAGAAAAATTCAATTATTCGATAAAAAGTCAATTATTTAAATAAAAAAATTTTTTTTTCGATATTTCACAAAAAATTCAATTTTTTAGAAAATATTTTTTCAATTTCTTTTTTTTATAAAAATTAAATATTTTAAATAGAATAATTGAATTCTTCAAATTCAATTGTTGAAATATAAAAATTGAATTTTTTGATAAAAAAATTCAATTATTTAAATAGAAAAATTCATTTAATTATTAAATATACTTGAATTTTTCCATTATTTAATTCAGTTTTATTGAAGAATTCAATTTTTCTATTTATTTAAATGAATTTTAATTGACAAATTCAATTTTTCTTTCTAAATAATTTAATTATTATCAAAGAATTGAATTTTCCGTTTAAACGATTGAATTTTTTTTATTAAAAAATTGAATTTTCGTATATAAATAATTAAATTCTCATAATACATTTTAAAAATTATTAAAAATAATTGAATTTTGATCAGAATATTGCATTTTTTTATTTAAATAATTGAATTTTTTATCAAAAAATTGTATTTTTCTACTTAAATAATTGAATTTTCGAAAAACTTTTGGAAAATTATTTTTGAAAAATTTAATTTTTCGGGGAATTGAAATAAAATTGTATAAAAAATAAGGTCTATTAAGTTGGCACAACTACTTTTATATTTTGAGTTATCAACTATGTCACAATTTAGGGCTCAAATAGGGCTCTTCAACGCTCAAAAATAAAAATTTGTCGCCCCTCATTTTTTTAAAAAAAACTTTGATTCTGCTAGCTTAACGTTAAGTTGGCACAAATTACTCTATAACTTCAATAAATAATTACAAATCAAAAAAATTTTAACGCTATAATTTAGGGCTCATTTCGGGCTCTCCGATGGACAAAGAACAAACTTCTTAAAAATACTCTTTCTCTAAAAAATTGCCCATTAACATTTTTTTTTAATAAAACCTTGTTTTTGCTAACTTAACGTTAAGCTAGCACAAATTACATTATAACATCAATAAATAATTACAAATCAAAAAAATTTTAACACTATAATTTAAGGCTCATTTAGGGCTCTCCAAAGGCAAATGAACGAACTTCCCAAAAACTACCCTTCAATTTAAAAAATTACCTTATCTACTTTTTTATATTTAAAAAATGTTTAAAACATGACCTTTTTTATCTAATTCATTTTTCCAGCCTTAGAAATTTATTAAATACTATTTTTATTTATAGTTAGAAACTCTAAATCCTAAAAATCTCTCAAATCATTTATTTAAAATAAAGGACGTTAATGTAACTTCATCATTTTTCTGGGGCCATATACGCTCTTAAATTATATCAAAATAATTAATAATCAAACATTTTTTAACACTATATTTTTAGGCACATTTAGATCTCTCCAATTAATTAAAAAACAATTTCTCAAAAATACCCTTTTGCCTAAAAAATCACCGCAACCCCATTTTTAAAAAAATACCTTGTTTTTGCTAGCTCAACTTTAAGTTGACACAAATTATTCTGTTACTTCAATAAATAATTACAAATCAAACCAATTTTAACGCTATTTATTAGGGCTCATTTAGGGCTCTCCGATGGACAAAGAACAATCTTCTTAAAAATACTCTTTCTCTAAAAAATTGCTCATTAACATTTTTTTTTAATAAAACCTTATTTTTGCTAACTTAACGTTAAGCTAGCACAAATTACTTTATAACATCAATAAATAATTACAAATCAAAAAAATTTTAACGCCATAATTTAAGGCTCATTTAGGGCCCCCTAAAGGGTAAAGAACGAACTTCCTAAAAACTACCCTTAAATTTAAAAAATTACCCTAACCACTTTTATTATATTTAAAAAATTTTTTAAACGTACCCTTTTTTATCAAATTTATTTTTCTAGCCTTACAAATTTATTAAATTCTATTTTTATTTATAGTTAGAAATACTAATATTTTTTAGTATTTAGTATTATGAATTAGTACTTAAACCAACAAGTAATATTAAATTTTATAAAAGATTTTAATATGCGAAACAGAAAAAATGACGTTTTTTTCTTTTGAAGTTATTAATTAATTAGTAAAAATTAATAAAAATTAAAATATTTTACAACAATATATTATAAAATCCAAGGTGCCTGAAGTTGCCATCGATGCTCAGCATCGAAATTTTTTTTTCATCAGACCATAAATTTTTTTGCATTTTCCTACTCAAGTAGGTAGCCAATAAATACCTACTAAGTTTCATCCCATTATCGATAGGGGAAAGTTGTCAAATCAACCCCTAAATTTAAAAAAATTTTTAAAAAATAGGAAAAAATTGTTATTTATAAACCAATAACGAGACTATAAATTTTATTGCATAAAATTCATTCACTCGATGCCCAATGAGTACAAAAAAATTTTGACCCCCATATCGATAGGGAAAAGTTGTCATTTTCAACCCTTAAAATTAAAAAAAACCGAAAAAAAATTAGAAAAAATTTTTTTAAAATTGCAGTTATCCTTTGACCAGCAATTTTCTTTTTGTTTATTGTTTCTACATATTCCACTAATAAGTAAAAATAATTTCAAAAAAATCGCCGCCCGGAAAACTTGATTTTTTTGCCCGTAAATATTATTATTTTTCAAATAATTTGAATTATTTGAATCAAATAAATTTTTTTCAGTGTAAGATTTAATAAACAATTTTGACAAATAAGTATACAATAAAAAAATATAATAATACATTTAAAAAAAAACGCAGTGACTTTTCAAAAAATGAAAGGTAAAACAACTCATACGTAGAAAAAGTTAGCTATCGCAGCTAACATATGGTTTATTATAATAGGCATAGCTAAAAATAAAAAATCTTAATTGTGATAGCTACACTCAATCATTTTTACTAATGTTGGTTGTAACAGCAACAAGTTCACTGAAAGCTGCTTAGATATGGTAGCCAACTTTTAGAGATTTTACAAAACAATATTATTTAATAAATATGTAACTATTTATTGAAGTTATAGAGAAATTTGTGCCAGCTTAACGTTAAGTTAGCAAACACAAGGTTTAATTAAAAAAAAATGTGGATAAGCAATTTTTTAGACAAAAAGTATTTTTCGGAAGTTCGTTCTTCATACGTCAAAGAGCCCTAAATTAGCTCTAATAAATAGCGTTAAAATTGTTTTGATTTGTAATTATTTATTGAAGTAACAGAATAATTTGTGTCAACTTAAAGTTGAGCTAGCAAAAACAAGGTATTTTTTTAAAAATGGGGTTGCGGTGATTTTTTAGGCAAAAGGGTATTTTTGAGAAATTGTTTTTTAATTAATTGGAGAGATCTAAATGTGCCTAAAAATATAGTGTTAAAAAATGTTTGATTATTAATTATTTTGATATAATTTAAGAGCGTATATGGCCCCAGAAAAATGATGAAGTTACATTAACGTCCTTTATTTTAAATAAATGATTTGAGAGATTTTTAGGATTTAGAGTTTCTAACTATAAATAAAAATAGTATTTAATAAATTTCTAAGGCTGGAAAAATGAATTAGATAAAAAAGGTCATGTTTTAAACATTTTTTAAATATAAAAAAGTAGATAAGGTAATTTTTTAAATTGAAGGGTAGTTTTTGGGAAGTTCGTTCATTTGCCTTTGGAGAGCCCTAAATGAGCCTTAAATTATAGTGTTAAAATTTTTTTGATTTGTAATTATTTATTGATGTTATAATGTAATTTGTGCTAGCTTAACGTTAAGTTAGCAAAAACATGGTTTTATTAAAAAAAAATGTTAATGGGCAATTTTTTAGAGAAAGAGTATTTTTAAGAAGTTTGTTCTTTGTCCATCGGAGAGCCCGAAATGAGCCCTAAATTATAGCGTTAAAATTTTTTTGATTTGTAATTATTTATTGAAGTTATAGAGTAATTTGTGCCAACTTAACGTTAAGCTAGCAGAATCAAAGTTTTTTTTAAAAAAATGAGGGGCGACAAATTTTTATTTTTGAGCGTTGAAGAGCCCTATTTGAGCCCTAAATTGTGACATAGTTGATAACTCAAAATATAAAAGTAGTGGTGCCAACTTAATAGACCTTAAAAAATAATTGAAATTCTGCGATCAATTTTTTATTAATTATAAAAATAATTTAATTTCGGTAAAAATGCTATTATTTATCAAAATAATTTGAATTATTGCGAAGAAATTTATAAAAAAATTTGTAAATAATTGAATTCCTGTAAATTTTTTATTGTTTATAAAAATAATAAAATGTTTTCGTAGAATTTTATTAAAAACAATTTTGGAATGATAGAATTTATTCGGAAATTTTTATTAAAATAGTAAATATAAAAAAATTATGAAATTGAGAAAAAATTTTGAAAATAATTGAAATTTTGTCAAGAATTTTTATTTAAATTTTGAAAAATAATTGAATTTCGGAGAAGAATTTTATTATTTATAAAGATAATTGAAATTTTAATTGAATTTTATTGAAGAATTCAATTTTAATAATTAAATAATTGCATTTTTTTATTTAATTAAATAAATTTTTATTAAAGAATTCAATTTTCCTTTTTAAACAATTGAATTATTATCAACGAATTGAATTTTACATCTAAATGATTAAATTTTTTTTTCAATTAATTGAATTTTTGTATTTAAATAATTGAATTCTCGAAGAACATTTGAAAAATTATTAAAAATAATTGAATTTTTGTATTTAAATAATTGAATTCTCCAAAAAACATTTGAAGAATTATTAAAAATAATTGAATTTTTTGTCAATAAATTGAATTGAAAAAATTGAATTTTTGAAAGATATTTTTAAAATAATTGAAATTTTGTAAAATTTTTGAAAAAATAATTGAATTTTTATCAAAAAAATGGAATTAAAAAAATATTTTTCAAAAAAATCTTTCAAAGATTTTATTATTTTTTCTATTTAAAATTTTAAATCGGAAAGTATTAAATTTGCCGTTTTTTTAAATTTAAATTTATTTTTAAATATTTTTCAATTCTAATTTAATAAATGAATTAAATTTCAGATTCAAATAGTTTATTTTTCTAATTTATTAAATGAAAGAATCTTCAGATTCAAAAAGTTTACTTTTCAAATTCAATTAATGAATACAATTTCATATTCAAAAAGTATTGAAAGTGATTGGACATCGTGAAATCTTTTTTCGAGTCTTTTTTTGAATTTTATTTTGAATCTTTTTTGAAATTTTATTTCGAGTCTTTTTTGAATCTTTTATCAAGTCTTTTTTTAAATCTTCTTTCGTATTTTTTCGAGACTTTTTTAAATTTGTTTTTGTATATTTTCGAGTATTTTTTAAAAATCTTTTCTGAATCTTTTTTCGAGTGATAAATGCAAGGAAAGGTGAAAAACAAACGAAATAGTAAATAAAATAGTAATATTAACATTATTATTTTTATTCTTATAAATTTGAATAAAATGATGAATAATTAAATAGAAATAATTTTCCCAGGGCGTCGATGTGAATTCGTGTCAACACGAGCACGAATACACGGCACTGCATTTTGCGGCGTTGAGTGGAAATTCGGACTTGTGTCATTTGCTGTTGTCGCATGGAGCGCGAATATCGTCGACAAATAGCGTTGGACGCACGGCAGCGCAAATGGCAGCTTTCGTTGGCAATCACAATTGCGTCTCGACAATTAATAATTTCATTCCAAAGGCGGACATTGATTACTACATTAAGCCACAGGGCTTGCAAACTGAACCACTATTGCCGCCACATCTTGCCGATTCATTTCATAAATTTATCATGCAAATAAATGTACATCCCGTACGTGTTGCGATGAATCTTCAACGGTGTCCTGGCCTCCTGGAGAATTTGGAGAAGGTGAACAAAAAATTTTCTTTCATTAATTTCTAAATGATAGAAAAAATTTTTTTTTCGCTTTTTGATATTAGGAAAGAAATTTCTTTAGAATTTTTAAATGAAAAAAGATATTTTTTTGAATTTATTAATAAAAATAAAAAATTTTGAGAAGGTGAACAAATTATCGTTAAACAATTTTTAAAAAAAGAAATCTTTTTAAAGAAAAGAACTAAAAGATGTACACAAGGTCTTTCAATTTCTAAATCATAGAAAGAATTTAAATAATTTTTTAAACAAAGGACTGAGATAAAAAATTGGGTGAAGTGTTTTTGAAGAGCCCAAAAATAATAAAGTTAAATGCCATAAAAAAGAAGAAAAAATGTTGAATTTTAAGAACTTCGGTTTTTCGAATTTTTCAACATTTTTGATAATTTTTGATTTTCTACCAAAGGTTGGAAAATTTTAAATAAGCAAAGTATTTTTCAAGAGCACAAAAATATTGAATCTAAATGCCATAAAAGAGAGGAAAAAATGTTGAATTTTAAGAAATTCGGTTTTTAGAATTTTTGAATATTTTTGATAATTTTTGATTTTTTACCAAAGGGTGGAGATTTTTAAATAAGTAAAGTATTTTTGAGAAGCACAAAATTATTGAAGCTAAATGCCATTAAAAAGAAGGAAAAATGTTGAATTTTAAGAAATTCGGTTTTTCGAATTTTTGAATATTTTTGATAATTTTTGATTTTTTACCAAAGGTTGGAGAATTTTAAATAAGTAAAGTATTTTCCAAAAGCACAAAAATAATGAAGCTAAATCCCATAAAAGAGAGGAAAAAATGTTGAATTTTAAGAAATTCGGTTTTTCGAATTTTTGAATATTTTTGATAATTTTTGATTTTTTACCAAAAGTTGGAGATTTTTAAATAAGTAAAGTATTTTTTAAAAAAACAAAAATATTGAAGCTAAATCCCATAAAAGAGAGGAAAAAATGTTGAATTTTAAGAAATTCGGTTTTTCGAATTTTTGAATATTTTTGATAATTTTTGATTTTTTACCAAAAGTTGGAGATTTTTAAATAAGTAAAGTATTTTTTAAAAAAACAAAAATATTGAAGCTAAATGCCATTAAAGAAAAGAAAAAATGTTAAAATTTTCAAAATTTCGGTTTTTCGAATTTTTGAATATTTTTGAAAATTTTTGATTTTTTTACAAAGGGTGGAAAAAATTAAATAAGTTAAGTATTTTTCTAGAGCACAAAAATATTGAAGCTAAATGCAATAAAAAAGAAGAAAAAATGTTCGATTTTCAAAATTTCGGTTTTTCGAATTTTTGAATATTTTTGATAATTTTAGATTTTTTACCAAAGAGTCGAGACAATTTAATAAGTCAAGTATTTTCCAAAATCACAAAAATAATGAAGCTAAATCCTATAAAAGAGAGGAAAAAATGTTGAATTTTAAGAAATTCGGATTTTTGAATTTTTGATAATTTTCGATAATTTCACATTTTTTACCAAAGAGTCGAGACAATTTAATAAGTAAAGTATTTTCCAGAAGCACAAAATTATTGAAGCTAAATGTCATAAAAAAGAAGAAAAAATGTTGAATTTTCAAAATTTCAGTTTTTCGAATTTTTGAATATTTTGGATAATTTTTGATTTTTCACCAAAGGTTGGAGAATTTTAAATAAGTAAAGTATTTTTCAAAAGCACAAAAATATTGAATCTAAATGCCATAAAAAAGAAGAAAAAATATTGAATTCTAAGAAATTCGGTTTTTCGAATTTTTGAATATTTTTGATAATTTTTGATTTTTTACCAAAGGGTGGAGAATTTTAAATAAGTAAAGTATTTTTCAAGAGCACAAAAATATTGAATCTAAATGCCATAAAAAAGAAGGAAAAATGTTGAATTTTCAGAAATTCGGTTTTTCGAATTTTTGAATATTTTTGATAATTTTTTATTTTTTACCAAAGGGTGGAGAATTTTAAATAAGTAAAGTATTTTTCAAGAGCACAAAAATATTGAAGCTAAATGCCATAAAAAAGAAGAAAAAATGTTGAATTCTAAGAAATTTTGTTTTTCGAATTTTTGATAATTTTTGATAATTTTTGATTTTTTACCAAAAGTTGGAGATTTTTAAATAAGTAAAGTATTTTTTAAAAAAACAAAAATATTGAAGCTAAATGCCATTAAAGAAAAGAAAAAATGTTAAAATTTTCAAAATTTCGGTTTTTCGAATTTTTGAATATTTTTGAAAATTTTTGATTTTTTTACAAAGGGTGGAAAAAATTAAATAAGTTAAGTATTTTTCTAGAGCACAAAAATATTGAAGCTAAATGCAATAAAAAAGAAGAAAAAATGTTGGATTTTCAAAATTTCGGTTTTTCGAATTTTTGAATATTTTTGATAATTTTAGATTTCTTACCAAAGAGTCGAGACAATTTAATAAGTAAAGTATTTTCCAAAAGCACAAAAATAATGAAGCTAAATCCTATAAAAGAGAGGAAAAAATGTTGAATTTTAAGAAATTCGGATTTTTGAATTTTTGATAATTTTCGATAATTTCACATTTTTTACCAAAGAGTCGAGAGAATTTAATAAGTAAAGTATTTTCCAAAAGCACAAAATTATTGAAGCTAAATGTCATAAAAAAGAAGAAAAAATGTTGAATTTCCAAATTTCAGTTTTTCGAATTTTTGAATATTTTGGATAATTTTTGATTTTTCACCAAAGGTTGGAGAATTTTAAATAAGTAAAGTATTTTTCAAAAGCACAAAAATATTGAATCTAAATGCCATAAAAAAGAAGGAAAAATATTGAATTCTAAGAAATTCGGTTTTTCGAATTTTTGAATATTTCTGATAATTTTTGATTTTTTACTAAAGGTTGGAGAATTTTAAATAAGTAAAGTATTTTTCAAGAGCACAAAAATATTGAATCTAAATGCCATAAAAAAGAAGAAAAAATATTGAATTCTAAGAAATTCGGTTTTTCCAATTTTTGAATATTTTTGATAATTTTTGATTTTTTACTAAAGGTTGGAGAATTTTAAATAAGTAAAGTATTTTTCAAGAGCACAAAAATATTGAATCTAAATGCCATAAAAAAGAAGAAAAAATATTGAATTCTAAGAAATTCGGTTTTTAGAATTTTTGAAAATTTTTGATAATTTTTGATTTTTTACCAAAGGGTGGAGATTTTTAAATAAGTAAAGTATTTTTTAAGAGCACAAAAATATTGAATCTAAATGCTATAAAAAAGAAGAAAAAATATTGAATTCTAAGAAATTCGGTTTTTCGAATTTTTGAATATTTTTGATAATTTTTGATTTTTTACTAAAGGTTGGAGAATATTAAATAAGTAAAGTATTTTTCAAGAGCACAAAAATATTGAAGCTAAATGCCATAAAAAAGAAGAAAAAATGTTGAATTCTAAGAAATTTTGTTTTTCGAATTTTTGATAATTTTTGATAATTTTAGATTTTTTACAAAAAAAAATAAAATAAATAAAGTATTTTTCAAGAGCCCAAAAAATTTTAAGAAATTCGGTTTTTTGAATTTTTGATAATTTTGATAATTCTAGATTTTTTACTTTTGGAAAATTGTTCATAATAATTGAATTTCTATTGAAAAACTGAATTTTTTCATTTAAATAATTGAATTTTTATTAAAGAATTCAATTTTCCGTTTAAATAATTGAATTTTATGGTAAAATTCAACTTTTCCATTTAATTAATTGAATTTTTATTGGAAGAATTCAATTTTTTCTATTTAAATAATTGAATTTTTATTGAATAATTGAATTTTTATTTATTTAATTAATTGGATTTTTATTGAAGATTTTAATTTTCCTTTTTAAATAATTAAATATTTATCATAAAAAATAATTTAAAAAATATTTTCAATAAAATTGAATTTTTTGTGAAATAGTAAAAAATTAATTTTTTTTATTTAAATAATTGACTTTTTATCGAAAAATTGAATTTTTCTATTTAGTTAATTGAATTTTATTAAAGAATTAAATTTTTTCATTAAATAATTGAATTCTCGATAAACTATTGGAAAATTGTTCAAAATAATTGAATTTTTATCAGAAAATTAAAATTTTTTTATTAAAATTATAGAATTTTAATCGAAAATTGAATTTTTCCATTTAATTAATTGAATTTTCATTGAAGAACTCAATTTTTCTCTTTAAATAATTGAATTTTTATAGAGAAATTGTATTTTTCTATTTAAATAATTTAATTTTTAATAAAGAATTGAATTTATCTACTTAAATAATTTAATTTTTATCGAGAAATTGGATTTTTCTGTTTAAATAATTGAATTTTCAAAGAAAATTTGGAGAATTATTTAAAATAATTGAATTCTGAAAGAACTTTTGGAGAATAGTTTATAATAACTGAATTTTTATTGGAGAATTGAATTTTTTTATTTAAAATAATTAAACTTTTGTATAAAAATTGAATTTTTTTTTTTTTACTTAAGTAATTGAATTTTTTTAAAATTTGAATTCTTCTATTTAAATAATTAAATTCCCAAAGAACTTTTGGACAGTTATTAAAAAAATTTGAATTTGAATCGAAATATTAATTTTTTATGTTTAAATGTTTTGATTTACAATCGGAAAGTAGAATTTTTTCATTTAAATAATTGAATTGGATTTTTCTATTTAAATAATTGAATTATCTAAGAACTTTTGGAGAATTATTTAAAATAATTGAAATTCTATTGAAAAATTGAATTTTTCTGTTTAATTAATAAAATTTATATTGAAGAATTCAATTTTTTCATTTAAATAATTAAATTTTAATTAAATTGAAGAATTTTATTTATTATTTGAAGAATTTATATAATTTTTCTTATTGAATAATTCAATATTTATCAAAGAATTGAATTTTCCATTTAAATAATTCAATTTTTTTATCAAAAAATTGAATTTTGGTATTTAACGAATTGAATTCTCGAAAAATACTTAATTTTTTTTTTTAATTTGAAGTTTTATTGAAGAATTAAATTTTTCTATTTAAATATTCGAATTTTTATTGGAAAATTTATTTTTTTTTATTTAATTAATTGAATTTTTATTATAATTTATATTTTTAGTAATTCGATTTTTTTTTATTAAATAATTGAATTTTTATGGAGAAATTCGATTTTTCTATTTAAATAATTGAAATTTCAGATTCAAAAAGTTTATTTTTCTAAATTAACAAATAAATTAATTTTCAGATTTAAAAAGTTTATTTTTCTAAATTAACAAATAAATTAATTTTCAGATTTAAAAAGTTTATTTTTCTAAATTAACAAATGAATTAATTTTCAGATTTAAAAAGTTTATTTTTCTAAATTAACAAATAAATTAATTTTCAGATTCAAAAAGTTTATTTTTCTAAATTAACAAATAAATTAATTTTCAGATTTAAAAAGTTTATTTTTCTAAATTAACAAATAAATTAATTTTCATATTCAAAATTGTTTATTTTTCTAAATTTATCAAATGAACGAAATTTCAGATTCAAAAAGTCCTGGAAGTAATGAGACATCGTGAAATGACACGCGGCGCCGAGACCAATGAAGTGATTGCCTTCAAATATCATTATTTGAGTTTCGTCGTGGCTGAAGTGATAAAATGTCAAAATCGCCAGAAAGCAATGAAGGCCCAATCGGACAAGTGCAATGAAGATGGCGGCGGCGGTGGTGGCAGCGCTGAGGAGAAGAAATCCGATCCCGTCGAAGCTCTCGTTCGTCGTTTTCTCAAGTGCAATAAAACCGATGGAATACCCGAATATCAAGAGGCATTTTTACGCGAGGCCGTGAGGGAATTCCCCTTCAGGGAGAGTACAATATTTCATCAAATGGTCGCAACATTGGCGGGCAGTGATCCACCGACTGCCGCGTCCGTTGTGTCGGCGGCAATTAATGGACAACGTGGTTTTATTGATAATTCACAAATTTGCGTCACGTGCGGCGAGGAGAAGGTGACGAAAAAATGCAGTAAATGCAAAGCCGTGCAATATTGCGATCGTGAATGTCAACGATTGCATTGGTTTATGCATAAAAAAGCGTGCGCACGTCTTGAGACGACGACGACAACAACAACAAATTCGGGTACAAAATTAAGTCAAGAGAATAAGGAACAAATTGCAAATGCCGTAAGTTCAAGATTACAAAATTTGACTGTTAATTAAAATTAACGGTCGAAGATTTAAAAATTAATTAAAAACGTTTTTTAAAAAAAGAAAGAAGGAAAATGAAACAATAATTTTGGGTTTGCATCGGTTTTTTCTTTTTTTCTTCTTCGTCTTCTTCTTCTTATTAATTTTCATGTAAATAATGTAGTCGGAATTTTCTTTTTCCGGGCGAGAAAATTTACAGAGAATTTTCAGCCTGAGAAATTAATTTTAATTCTTACTCGCTAAGGGAAAAAAAATTTTTTCTTCGGTGAAAAAGACTTGGTCTCAAAAAGCAAAAAAAAAAAAAAAAAGGTAAAGAAAAAATATTCGAGCTTCCAAAAATTAGAGAATTGAGTAATTTCTTTTAGAGAAAGTAATAAATTTATCGATTATTAGATAGAGAAGGTTGATTTAGGAATTTTTTCTCTCTCTCTGGATTGATAGTTTTTTTTGTTTATAAATTTATAATTTAAGAAATGTTTTTCGAATAAATTTGCAGTGAAGTAAATAAATTTTTGGAGGAATTTTCGATAAATTTCTGAAGGAATTTTCAATAAATTTGAAAATTCCTTTTTAAATTATTAACGAATATTCGATCGATTTATTAAGGATTTTTCAATAAATTAATAAAGGAATTTTCAATAAATTTAGTAAAGAATTTTTGGATAAATTTATAAAGGATTTTTCAATAAATTTATGAACAAATTTGCAAAAAATTCGCAATAAATTAGAAATAAATTTTCAAATTAAATTGATAATTAAAAATTTGTGTTAATGAACTTTTAAATAAATTTGTAAATAAATTTAACAATGAAATAAACAATTACGAATTTTATTCATTAATTTTTTTTTTTATTAAATTTTCGAATAAAATTTGAAATTGCAAAATTTTATTAATAAATTTTTTAAATCAATTTGTAAATAAATTTAAGAATTAGGTCTATAAATACAACGATTTTTTCAATAAATTTTATGAATAAAATAAACAATTACATATTTTATTCATCAATTTATGAATAAAATAAACAATTAAAAATTCTATTAATAAGTTTTTTTAATAAATTTATAAATAAAATTTATAATAAATTAGAAATTTTAATAATAAATAAAAATAGAATTTGTATTTGCAAATTTTATTTTACTCAATTTTTTTAAATAAAATTTTATCAATTAATTTATAAATAAACTTTGTAACTAGAATTTTTTAAAATTAATTTTTAAAATAAAATTTATAAATAAAATTTATAATTCCAACTTTTATTTATAAATTTATTTGAAAATTTATTAATGAATTTTGAAATTCATTCATTCATTCAAATATATTTGAAAATTATAAATTGTGTAACTGTAAATTTTATTTATAAATTTTTTTTATCTACAAAATTTATAATTTTTCAATTTTTTTTTTTACAAAATTTAATACAAGTTTTTTTGTAAATTTATTTTTAAAAGAAAAATAAAAATTTGTATTTGCAACTTTTATTTTGTAAATTTGTTACAAAAAGTTTATAATTATTTTAACTAATTTACAAATATAAAAGTTTATATTTGGAAAATTTATAAATTAGAAATAAATTTATAAATATCAGCTAAATTTATGAATTTTCTGTTTATAAATTATAAATTTTTAGAAATTCAACTAAATATTTCAATTTTTATTTCTGAATTTTTTAATAAAATTTATAATTAGAAATTTTATTTTTTAAATTTTGAAAATTTATATTCATAAATTCATTGAAAATCAAATTATTTTGATTAATTTGTAAAAAACTTCAATTTATAGACAAATTTATAATTAATTTATAAATAAAAAAATAAATTTATAAATTTAACTATAAATTATAAAATTTTGGAAGTTTATCAAAATAAATTGATTCTTTATTTCTATTTTTATTCAAAAATTTACAATTATTAATTTTCTTAACAAATAAACTGCAAATTTACTTACAAATTTATTGCAAATTTATTACAAATTTTAAAATTATTAATTTTATTTAGAAATTCATTGCAAATTTATTTACAAATTTTTATCAAAAAAATTTTTTATTTTATTAATTAATTTTATTTACAAATTCATTGCGAATTTATTTACAAAATTTGTTGCAAATCTTTTTGTACCTAAATTTATTTCAAATTTACTCAAAAATTTAAAATTATTAATTTTTATCACAAATTCATTGGACATTTTGTATTTTCAAATTTATTGCAAATTTTTTTTATAAAATAAAAAAAACTAAATTTATAAATAAAGGAAAAATTGATAATAAAAATTTTGACTTTTATTTATAAAAATAATAAATAAAAGTCGAAATTTAAAAATAATAAATAAATTTACGTTAAATTTATAAATAAAAATACAAAATTTATAAATAGAAAATAAATTAAAAAAATTTGTTCATATACTATTATAAATTTTTAGAAATTCATCAAAATAATTTCGATTAGAAAATTTTTGTGAAATTAGATGAAAAAATTTTTATTCTTTAGAATTTCACAAGTCTCGGACTTATTGCGAATTTTTGCCACTTTCAGGCAATTTCCGAAAATTATTAGAATATTTCTTTTTTTGTTTCTTCGGAAAAAAATAAAATATGAAAGTGAATTGAAAAAATTGAAAATTGAAATTGAAATTTAAAAAGTTGAAAAAAGGGAACAAAAAATATTTACACAAAGTAAATTATAGTAAACGAAATGAATAATATATACTTACGAAATAATTTTATTTTCAATTTTTTCCAAATATTTCTATGTGGAATAAATAAAAAAATAAATAAATGAATTAATAAATTGAAATTTTAAAAGGAAAATTCTTTTACAAATTCGAATCTAAATTTTGATTTTTCGAAGAATTTTAAATCAAATTAGATTAAAAATAGAAAAAAAAAGTTTTTATTGAAGTCGAAAGAACTTTTCAATGATAATTTTAATTATAATTATAAAAATTATATTTAAAAAAATCGAGTAATATTTGATTTTAATTTTAAACGTTGTATTTATAAAATATTAAATCGTCTATATTAAATAAATAGATAAGTAAATTAATTAATCAATTAATTAGCTAAAAAATATGATAATATTATTATATTAATTATATTAATATTATTATTATTGATTATAATTACAGGGAATGAATTTATTATTCGGTAATTAATATTAAAGGTGAAAGAAGTTAACAATTGATTTTCACAATTATTGATTATAATTAGAAAAATTGGTAATTCTGCATAATTACCGAAAAAAATATTTACATAAGCATAATATTTATTTATTAACACTTAATTTATTTATTAACAATTCGTTAATAAATATTTCGCAAAAATAAAAAAAGAGTTTGCAATAGTCCGAGGCTGGAAATTTATTTTTTTCCAAATAATGAAAAATACTTTTCGTTTTTCTTTTTTTCGTTCAAAAATAGTTTGGTATTTTAGTTTTGTTTCTTCTCCTTCCGCCCCCCCCCTGATTTTTTTTCTTGATCTCAATAAAATAGATTTTTTTTCCTTTCGTTCTAACAATCAAAGGGTTTGAAAAAAAAATACTTGTAAAATTATTTCTTCGTAAAAAAAATGCATTTATTTACAAGCAGTCTCTCTCTAGTCTTCGGTGCTCCGCCAACTTATATTTTATTCCTCAAGTTAGCGTCTCGACGCTTAGCGTCGAAAATATTAATTTTCGAGAAAAAATTTGAAAAAAAATTTCAACGAAAATTATGAATAGAAATTCAAAGAGTTGAAACTTCCTTATTCACTTGGGGAGTTTAAACATTTTTTAAAAGTTTTTAGAAATTTTCTCAAAGAAAAGAAAAAAATTTATTTAAAATGAGAAAAATTGTACATTTCTTATTTAAAAACTTGAAAAAAAAATCGTTTTACTCTTTTTTTGGAAAAAAGTATTTTTTTGACGCTAAGCGTCGTCACGCTAATTTCAAAGGACCTTCTTCTTGATTTTATTATTCTCGATAAATGTTTCGTTTGTTATATAAACTAAATGTGAGGAGAGGGGGTATTTGTTGGTATTTGTCTAACAATTTTTTTTTTTTTTTTACTTTTTTTTTAATCTAGTGCGAGAGTGTAATTTTATATAAATATAGAACGACTTTTTGGTTTTTCGTTTGTAAAGTTTGTAAGTTCGTAGGTGTGTGTGTATAAAAAAAATGTTGTATTTCGTTCCATTGATTGATTTTTTTAATGAATTTGTTTGTTTGCCTTTCTTAAAAATTAAGGCGTACTTAATAACAAAAAGAAGGAAAGAAAACAAAAATAGATTGTTTTCTTCCTTTTTTTCTGATGACTTTTTATAGTCAAACATAATGTATTTCTCTCTTTTTCAATAAAAAATATATTCTATCTTCTGTGCAACATTTAGAAAAATGCTTTTCTATTTTTAAAAACAAAATGTTTTCTTTAGGGATTTTTATAAAGAAAAATTTTATTTTCTATTTTCCACATTTCTTTAGGGATTTTTATCAAATTTTTATTTTCTATTTTCCACAATTCTTTAGGGATTTTTATAGAATTTTTAATTTCTATTTTCAGAATTTTTTGGAGAAAAGGTATTTTTTAATTTTTTGAGACTCGTTTTTGTAAAAGTTGAAATAGGAATCGAATTTTTCTTTTTTGGATTTTTATATTTTTCTTTCAGGAATTTTAGTGATAGAGGAAGAATTTTATTAGTGATAATGATTGTTCATTTTATATTTTATTAACATAAGTGTTATTAATATTTTATTGTTATTTTTTGTTTCAGTATTAATTATTCATAAAAACAATTTTAAAAAATTGAATTTTGGAGAAATTTACAAAAATTCTTCACAGAAATTTAATTATTTTTAAAAGTATAATAAAATTCTTCACAGAAATTCAATTATTTTTAAAAATTAAAAAAAAAAATTCTCGTCAAAATTTCAATTATTTTTAAAAATAATAAAATTCTTCTCCAAAATTCAATTATTTTCAAAAAATTTTTCCCTCAATTTGATGATT